TAAGAGAAAAGTCTTCAATATCTTATATTAGTATATAAATTTATAATAGCTAATCAAATTTCTCTTATATAAAGAAAAAAATATAGTAAAAAAATATTATATAATATTTGTTACTACTCTAAATATAAACTATCTATTAATTAAGTTTTTTATTATTTGTATTATAGCAGTTTTAAAAAATTAAAAACTTAATAAATCTTGAATTAAAAGCCAATACAACTCTTTTTGATAATCTCTTATACCAAAAAATACAACAAACTTTTTTTTTAAAAAACAGTAAACTATAGTAAAAAAAGAGAAATATAATATTAATAAAAACTATAAACCAGCATTTGTTATTTAGAGATAGTTCTTATATGCTATCTGTTAACAGACTTAGAACTTATTACTTATTATGAAGATAGTATTTGTTATTTAAAGGTAGTTAGTTCTTATATGCTACTTGCTAACAAGTTCAGAGTTTATTACCTATTAATAAAAAAATCAGTAATTTACTTGGCTTTATATATTTTACTATTTTTTAGAAAAAAAAATATATTCTTTAAAAAGCTATCTTCTATATTATTATCTACTTGCTTATTCTACAAAATTTTTATAAAAAGTAGATAAAATAGCTTATATTTATCAAAAAATTGATATTATTTACTTCTTTCAAATTTAGATAATTTAGTAAATTGCAATATTTTGTTTATCAACAAATACTATACTACTTTATAGATCTAATCTTTTAGTTAAAGAAATATCTAAAAATAGTTATATAATTAAAAAGAAATTTATATATTAAAGTGATACTTTATAGTAGAAATATACAGATATTATATTTGTTATATAATTTTTTCAAGTCTTTTTTCTTTTATATTTTTCTAATAAATAATTATAGTTTATTTATATATCTCTTTTTTTGTTTAGCTTTATAAGAAAAAAAAGAATTTAAAAGAAAGAATATTTAGGCTTTCTAATATAACCTCCTAGTTTATTGTTTAGATAAATTAGTATAGCAAGTTGTATTTAGATATTTTTAGAATATTTGAGTAATGTTAAACTTATTAAATTAAATTAATATTAAGGTGTAATAATTTAGTAAAGTGATGAAGTTGTTATATCTAGATAGTAGATTTAGAGTTTAAATTTTATAGACAACACTTTTAAAAAAAATAACTTTGTAATATAGTTAATAGCTATTATTAACTAGTTAGATTTAGTAATCTGTAATCTTAGTTATACTATCTAGAATAGAAACTTTGGTGCATAAATTCAAGAAATTAGGATAACTAAAAATCTATTTGGAAAGTTCTGGGTTGAAAGGTAATATAATCTTTAATAGTGCTATAGGATAACTAATTCAGAACTAAAGATCAAAACCAAAGAACCAAATGACTAGGTTCTTAAGTAGAGAAACACACTAGCCAAACTACCAGGTTGTCAAAACTAAAGAAAAAGAATATATACTCTAGAAGTATGTATCAAGAAGAGAAAAACTATAAAGTATTTAAAGCCTGGGCAGACCAACCTTTCTAGATTGCTAGCTAGAAGTAAAAAAGAGACTAGTAAAGAATTTGAGGAAGAAGAAAAGTTCAAATATAAGTACTGAGGTTGTATAAACTTTATAAAAGCAAAGAGTATATAGGTTTGGTATTACAAAAAGAGAAAAATTAACAAATTTTTAAAAATTTATTTTTATACAAACCAATTTAAAATAATATTAAAATTATTTTTTATTTAAAACAAAAAAGTAGTTGTATTAATAAAATTTTGTAGTATAGTTTTTTAAAATTTGTATTTTCTTAAGATTTATTATAAATTAACAACATAAAAATTGATTTTTTAAAGATCTTTTGTTTTTCTCTTTTTGTAGTACCAAGTTTATATGATGGAAAATTAATTAGAAAGGTTGTGGTTTAAAATACAGACTAGATTATAATAGTATTTTAAAAATAGTTTAAGATACAAATCTAGTAGTACAATAAATACTAGTTAAAAATAAGTTACTGAATATGCAAATAAAAACATATGTAGAATATAGACTGTTTTGTTAAATTTACTTTATAGATTAGCTAGAAATGGTTAGTAAGTTCTAAAATAAGTGTAAAATCTACAAGTATTACAAAATCTAGTTTATAAATAGTGAGTTGCATAGCAGTTATAACTAGAGAGTTTAAATAGATATTCTCTATAGTTGGGATGCAAGTATAGCAAATAGTATAAAACTTTTGGATAAACTACTTAAATTAGATATTAAAAGTATATGTGTAGCTTGATATACTCTCATTGTAATTATAATTTAAAATTAATAATCTAATAAAAAGTTCCTGGCCATAAAGATTATCTTAACTCCAAAAATAATAATAATAATAATAATATATAATTATTAAACTATAATATTGTATTAAAACTATCTCTTAATATATAAACTAATACAGGCAAATTTGCTTGTATTTTTGTATTTTTTTAGCTCTGATCTACTTTTTTAAAATGCCAAAATATTTAAATAAAACTTTGTATAATTATATTTGAAAATAAAAATCACTTTTTTGCAAAATTACCGGTAGTTTTTATAATATAAAAAAAAAGTTTAAATTGCTTATAAGCTAAAAATAGATAATTAAATTTAGAAAAAATTTTTAATCAAAAAAATTATTTACAACTTTTTTAATGAACTCTTTAAATATTAATTTTAAATATATAGTTCTTAAAACAATATTATAGTTTATATAAAGAATTACAACTTTTATTATTGTACTTTTAGAGATTTACTAATAAGAATCAAGACTTTACTTAGAAGCAAAATTTTTTTATAGACAAAAAACATATAAAATTTAAAAAAATCAAAAAAAATTAGATAGTAAAAATTTTAATACAAAAACTTTAAACTTTTATTATATTAAAATTTTTTAAAAAATTATCTTAATAAAGTTAATAAAACAAATCTAAAATTAAATATTTTACTTAGAAAGTATATAGCTAAAATCAATATTTAAAATTTTATAAAAAAATTAAAATTTTTAATAAAAACACAAGCATATTTGCCTGTGTTACAAATTAAGAAATAGGTTTAAAATTAATATTTATATAGTAAATAATTTTTTTAGTTAAAAATTTTATGTTTTTTAGCTTATAAACAATTTAAACATTTTTTTATAATATAAAATTAAATACTACAAATATTATTAAAAATTTTAACATTTTAGAAATAGTAAAAAATATTTCAAGTAAGACTATCAAACAGGAATATAGAATTTGTAATAAGAATTTATAAATTATGTTGTGCAATATATGAGGTAAAGTCAATAAAAAAGAGACAAATTTTTTAAGTAAAAGTTTTCTTGACTTTAAGCTTAAATATCTTAGCAATTATCTTATTAAATTTTATAATTTTTTTTTTATTTTAATTTTATATAATTCCAAAATTAAAATAAAAAAAAAATTTAGCAAATTTGTTTAATTAGTTGTTAAGATATTTTACTTTAAAAATTAAAAAAATTGTACTAAAAATGATTTGTCCCTTTTCTATTGACTCCACCCCATATATAAAATATTCGGTATACTGATTAAAAAATAAAAGTAGATGTTTACTGAGCAAAAAAAAAAAAAAACGATTTAGTGTGATTTTGTTTAATACACTAAATCAAATAATTTCTACGACCTGCTATCTGGGATTATAAATGTTAAGATCTTGAACTATTAATTGTCTGTCAATATTTTACCTATTCAGGATTTTAAACTATCAAGATTTTAACTATTCGAGATTTTGAATATCGGGATTTTGCCCCTGTCGAGATTCTGTCTTTTTCGAAATTTTGTCTTGTCGGGATTTTGACTCTTTCGGGATCATGCATGTCGAGATTTTAACCTGTCTGGATTTTGGGTTTCGGGAATCCGGGGTAGAACCTGACTCCAGTTCTTTTGCTACATCTTCTAAAGACTTGCAACCTTTATCGATTAATTTCTTCGCTTTCACCCGTCTTTTTCAATAAAACAAAACATATAATAAATACGTAATTATTCGTAAAATTTGTATTCGACTTTGTAATTTACCCAATTCTTGGTAACTTTGTGAAAAGGTTAATTAAATTTCTTTCATCATTGTCATTTTCCCACAGTTGAGAACAAGTACCCTATTGTGAATTTATATAAATTAACTGTATATTCTATATTAAGGATATATACCAATATATAAAGTACGAACCGTCTTTAAAATTTCATCTATTTTTGCAGAAATACTATAGCCGACACCTTTTAGTTTCCGAGCTTCTTCACCAGAAGTTATTCGTTTAGGATATATAGAAATTGACTTTATCGCAGTATGATACGCTCGTTCTCGGTAAATGTCTCCTGCCTTTTTTTCTTTTTCTTTTAAAGCTTATGATTATTCGACCGCCATATTCAATGTTTTCAGAAAGCGTATTTGTTTTAATCCACCATGATTTTGATATAGTGACCGAGGATTAATTAATAATACCCCGGGCCATATGTGTACAAGTGGAGAATTCATTTCGCTTATACCCAAAAGTCCGGGATATTATTATTACAAACATATTTCTTGAAGTCACCCTATTCCTCTTTTACCTTTTAAAACTTTTGTGATATTCTCATTTAAATTTACAAAAGATTCAGTCGTGTTGTTCGCCGATGGTGCTTTTCCAGAAAAATTGTTTTTTATAGCATTAGTCTTCGTTATTTCATTAGTATGTTTATAAAGGCATTTTGACCATATTATCGGTAGAAATTCACCCGTTGATAAAACCCTGAGAAGATGCTGTGATATCAATATTTCTGTAAAGAAAATTAAATTCTAATAACAATTATATTATCTTTGTTACCGCTTAACATTAAAAACAAGTCGTTGGAATGTCATTTAAATAAGATTTGGATTAAACATTATCGTTATTAGAATTTCATTATATACGCGGCCACGCGACTCAAAAATGATTATCAATTTGTATGGGGTGCAGATTATAACAATTCATGCAATTCACTCTACCTTTATCTATTACGTTAAAATGTCTTCAGAAAAAGAGTCAGTCCAATCAGAAATAACAATAGGACGTCAGTCTTCTCCTTCAGTAAATGAAGGATCTCCTTCAGTAAGTGAAGGATTAAATAAAAATAACCAAGATATAAACAAATTGACTGAAGAGATGTTTCTTAAAGTGGCTGATTATTTAAAGGGAGAGATCCTAGGTATTTTATTCAACTAGTCTACGTTAATAATTTTTGATGCTCTTTCTTCTAGCTTCAAATTCTGAGGCTCGATTGATTTATTTTTAGTTAAAATTTATAGCTACAACTGAAGATTACAAACTTTTAGAAACAATGAATCAAGTTACGCGAGACCGGTATCAAGAAATGTCTAAAATGGCGCAAAATTTGGTTGTAGAAATGGCCAATTTTCAAAGGATTTGTATGTCATTCAGCTTTGAACAATTTTCATGTGATTAATAACAATCGCCTAATCTACTTGCAACTTATTAGACACTAGCTTCGAACCATATATTCAACAAATTGATGAAATATGTGAACAAGTCGATTTTTTGGAAAAAGTTGCTAATGAATTAGACGAATATTCAAAAGAATTGGGTATGCATTTTTCTTGGTAGAACAAATTATTATTCCGACTTATTAATTAAATCTTATAATACTATTTAGAATCGCGAATGAAGAGCTTGACTAAATAGATATTCATAGATCTAACATCAAATTCTAAAATTCTAAGCAAATGATAAAATAATTTATTTAGATAATATATAATTGTTTTTGTATTTTTTTTTCGTGTTTTTGATAACACACATATATATATTCGGTATTATGCAGCTATAGGTTAATGGGTTTACAATTTGAACTTGCAAATCTATTAGATTCTTAAATATATTTTTAAAAACATTTGTTAATATTATTGTTGACTGATGACCTATGTCATAACTTTTTTTGATATGGCCTTTGGTCATATAATATATGATTTATAGATCATTTAAATGCTAATAAAAATTTTTTTTTATTATTAATTCTTACTATATTAAAAGGCCATAAATAAAGTCTTATCAACCTTCGTTATGACCAAATGACTTATGACAGATCATGAAGCCATCGGTCAGCGTTGGTAATATAAGTTATATTTGATTCATGATCAACATATGTCATATGTCTCCCTGAATTCCTGTCAATTACGATCAGGTGATTTCGGAAACGATAACGATAACAGATATAGTGTGATTACGATCTGCACATGATTTCTACCATACAATATTTATTATTATATGCCAGATGGATGAGCAACCAGCATCGAGTTAAAAAATTTTTTCATATGAAAATATAAGTGGATAATCTATATATATGCGTTAATTCATCTCAAAATCTTTAATCATAGCTATTACAAAAATGGCATCGAAACTAAATATCAATTCTTCCTTCGTTAATAATGATAACGTCAAAGAAGAACTATCCCATGTACGATATTTTTTAAAAACTGTCCAAGAACGTGTCGAAAAACTTGGGACAGACGTAAAGGAACTTTTTAATAAATCAGACAAAGAACAGGCTACTGGAATAAGGATGGTAATTATGGGGCCGCCTGGAGCTGGTATGAATTTTTGTAATAATAAATAAATAATAATAATAATAATTATAGTAATAATAGTAATAATTATAATTAATATTAAAATTAATATTATAATTATTATTGCAATTACTTTATTATTACTATTCTTACTATTCTTATTATTATTACTATCATTAATATAATTTAACTCCTTCCTAATTGATACTTTACTGATCAATATTATGCTTTTATTTATTAATACAGGTAAAGGAACTCAATCTCCAAGAATCAAAGAAAAATTTTGTGTTTGTCATTTAGCTACTGGTGATATGTTACGTTCGCAAGTAGCGGCAAAAACGAAACTTGGTGTGGAAGCTAAAAAAATTATGGATGCTGGAGGTCTGGTATCTGATGAAATTATGGTAGGAATGATCCAAAATGAATTGCAAAATAATCCAGAATGTAAACAAGGGTTCGTTAGGATTTATTTTAATTATTCATATATATTTGATTGATTATTTAATTGAGGTTTCATCAATGCTTCTATCACGTCATTTACTGTGACAGCTTTATTTTAGATGGATTTCCTCGTACAGTACCCCAAGCGGAAAAACTTGATGCCATGCTTGAAAAAGATAAAAAAAAACTTG